CCCCACCGCAACCCAGCCAGACATCTCCGGGGCTCCCGATTCACCTATTTTTCACCCAATATCACAAGTGCCCAGCTAGTGCCCCATTGGAGCCTGCCTCCTACAAGCTAACATCTGTGTCCTCAAACGGGCTGGCAATGACGGAGTCATTTCACTATCGGCCGCACCAACAAGCACCCTCGGCTGAGAGATCCTTTTCCCTCCTCTCGCTTATCGTGTGGAGACGCCCTTAATCCTCCCAGGAGCAGCCAGCCCAAGGCTCCCCTTCTCTATTTAAAACAGACATTTCCTCAGCTAACCCCATCCCCAAACTAACGCCGGAGCCGTCCCCATAGCCAATGGGGGCTCCTTTCAGTCATCCCTCAGGATCCCGTTTCCTCCGCCCATCCATCCTGACCGGCTTCTTTGAAGTCCCAGCCAAACGGACATCCCAAGGTTCCCCCCTCACCCGGACCCACGGCACCCAGTGAAGGACTTCCATCCGCTTTGGGGAGCCGCCTCCTCCTCCTCTAGAGAACCCCTCGATCGCCCCCAAAGAGCACCAGCCTCAAGCTCCTTAGAAGTGCCTCTGGGCTCGTCATTCGCCCGCTCCGGCCGCTCAGCAGCCCCGCGGGGCCCGGTCCTTCCTCTCAGTGGGGGCTGCACACCGCCCGGGGGAGCTTCAGGGCCTCGCCGCGCCGCCCACAGGCCCCTCAGGCCCCCGCCCGTGCTTCCGGCCGCCGCCTGCTCCTCCTCCCCACTCAGGCCGGCATGGTCGCCGCCGCAAAGCCCGGCGGGCAGATTCAGTGCAGAGGCCCTGGTCACGCTGCAATGGCCTTTGAGAGCCCCCGACCCCCGGCTCGAGCCCGCGCTCCCTCAGCCGGTCGGGCCCGGCGCCCCCGCTCACCCGAGCCCGTGGTGGCTGCCATCTTGCGTCGCTGTCGCTCGAAGGCCGGCCCCTTCTTCACCCCCCACCCGTTCCCGGGCCCTTCTGCGCAGGCGTGCGCGAACGCGCAGACGCCGCCGCTGACGCCCGCTCTGCGGACCACGCGACCCGACGCGGGGAAGGTTCCCCCCCCCGCCGCTGTTTTAGAGAGAGGAAATGCGTGCGCGAGGGCCCAGCAACCTGAAAGTGCCTCCGGGCTCGGGTGCGAGGGAGGTACTGAGGTGCTTGGCGAGAAGGGCAGGGATGATCAGTCTTGGGAGGGCGCGATTGTAAAAGAAAGTAGAGAAGGAAAGCTGCAAAAAAGCGCCTATTTCGCTCTGGGCATTTTTCCTATCTGGTTGGATCCTCACAACCTCTCTACCAGGTGGGGATTAATGTGAAAAATGGAGCTGAGAGGGGTTAAGCGATTTATCTGAACTCAGCTGTTAAGTGAATAAGTCACAGTTTGAACCCAGGCCATATCGTCTTGCTTCCAGAGTTGATGCTCCCGGGCCAGAGGAGGCTTGTAGCTGGACAGCTAAATGATTTGAAGGCATTAAGGTGGCAGGGAAAGCATTCATTCATTCATTCATTCACTCGTCAATCCATCTGTTCATCCAAACTGTGCTTGGTGCTGGGGGTGGACATACATCCCTGAAGAAGCAAGTCCTTGCTCTTATGGGCTTACATTCTAGTCGGAGACAGAGCAAGTAAACAAAAGGGAAAGAACACAATTATGATAGGATAGAGAGTAAACCAGGGAACGGGCAGCAGAGGATGGTCAGAGAGACTCCTAAGGTGGTCACCTTTCAAGGGAGACCTGAATGATGAGAAGGAGGTAGAGGAAACTGTTTACAGGCCCTGGGGACATATCTCCACCTTTACTGTAAATGGTCTGAGAAGCTTTTATGTTGTTGAAACAGGATGTGAGAAGTGAAGAGACTGTTTCAAGGTCACACAGCTAAACACTGGCAGAAGAACCAGAACTTTGAGTACAGAGGACCAAAAAAGCCAGAAGCCCTTACCCAGCACATCCAATTCATCACCTTGTTGTGACAGCAATGCTTCCTGAGCATTTCTCAACTCCATCCACTTTTCCTACTTAGGGGAGGCTGCCCTTGTCTTCCACTTGGATGACCCCATCAGCTTATTCCTGCCTCTATGGTCCATTCTCTACATGGCAGCAGAGTCTGGTCAAAAACCCTTCTGCTAAAACTTTCAGTGGTTCCCCACTCCCTGGGGATAAAAATACAGACTACAAATTGAGTGACCATAGAATTATAATTCAACAAGGACAATCATCAGAATGAAAGGGGGCCTGGTATATATAATCTTGTTGGGACAACAAGAAGAAACCAGGATTCCCCAGGGCAAACCAGGATGGATGCCCACTCTACCCACAACCCTGTATGTAGGACCAGTGTGGTGTCTAAGGCCCCAAATTTAAGGAAGCTTTCACTCTGGGGTCCTGGCTTTGCACGTGCATGACCCTATGCGTGAGTGCCTCCCTAACATTGGCATCCTGGGTACCTCCCTCCCCCCATGGCACTGCCTGCACCTCTGAGACTTGCTGTATCTCTCCAGTTACACTGGCCGGAACACATGTCCTTTCCCTCCTCAGGGCCTTGGACTGTGCTATTCCCACTTTTCAGTTCTCACAGCCAGCATCACTCATGAATTTCTCAGTGTGTCATGTGTATCTCCTTCCCAGCACTAGCCACACACAATTATCTTGACATTATTCCATGTATGACATGATTCAAGTTTACCTTGAAGAGAACAGAAAATATTTGCCCTGGACTTTGGATCATTATAAAGTGTCAGGTAGCAAGTTGGAAGCATTTGGGCTCCTAATGTGGACTCAGCTCTAGAGTGTAATTTTCTGGGTTCTAGTCCTTCACCACTCACTTGGCTGTGTGACTTCAGGCAAGAGACTTGAACTCCGGGAGTCAGTTTCCCTTTCTGAAAAGAAGGGTGAGCATATCAACCTCATAGGGTGGCTGTGGAGATAAAATGCTTTGAGAAAACCCTTTGGCATACTGGGAGGAGGGGAAACTAGAAGAACTAACATTTACCAAGGTATCATATCCAGCTTTTAATCCCCACAACTCAATGCGGCAACTCCTAGAAATATCCCCATTTTAGGGATGAGGAAACTGAATTTTTGAGCTAACAGATGGAGACGTGAGGATTAAAACACCAGCCTCTTATCCACGATGCTCATAAATGTTTATTTGCATAGATCTCTTTGTTCTCGTAGGGAATTTCTGGCAAGCAAAACTGACAATAAAGCATATTTCTATGCAAAGCACCTCGCAGGAGGAAATAGGTTAAGTAGGACAGCTCGGGCATGCTGGTTATTGTAGTCCAGCGCTGTCGGAGGGCCTACTGGGAGTTGTAGTCCCCCTTGCTCACGCTCTCTCGGAGAGGCTCCGCCCCCTCGCCGGAGGTCACAGCCAGTTCCCAGCGCAGGATTCTTCTGCCGCCTGTGATCCGGGTCCTAGCGCTGCTTCTGCCGGTAGCTTCAGCTGATGAGGATGGGAGTCCAGTTTTATCGGATTGTTGGAAAGGTTAAAATGGTTAATAGAACTAAAGAATTTAGAAAAGGACTTGGCACAGAACAAGTGCTATATAAGTATTATCTGCCATTATTATTTAATCCTCAATGACCCTTGAAAAGTAGCTATTATCATCTCCATTTATCAGATGAGGAAACAGGCTGGGAGTTAGTTGGCTTTCCCAGAGCCACACAACAAGGAAGGAGTAGAATCAGGTTTGCAACCTGGTTCTCTTAATCCTGGGGCACCTGCCTCTGTGCTGAGGGAGCTGGATGGAGCCTGGGAGGTTTTAAGCAAAATGTGGCAGGTTTGCATTTTTACCAAGGGCAGCCTGGCTGCCTCCAGGATATTAAATTGGGTAACAGCAAGACGAGGTGGGGAGTCTAGAGAGGTTGGACACCACTGACTCAGTCCAGTCACCATGTCCTTCTGTTTCCACAGAATCTGGGTTTTGTTTAGGAGGCCAGAAGGACCAGTGTCTTGGTGTGAACCCACGCCTGTATCGGGCACTGACATTTCTTTTTGTCATTGATTGATCCCGTGGCGTACCTGTGACGTAGTTATTTCTGTCCAGTGAGTTGGGGAAGGGTAATGTTCGGAAAGTTTTACTCCCCTGATAATAGCCTTTTTTTATTTTTTGCCCGCTTTCCTCCTTTCTGTAATATGAGGTTGTGATGGTTGGAGCTGTGGCAATCATGATAAAACCGTGAGGCACAACCTGGAGGCCAAAAAGCTGACACACCGAAGATGCCAGCACAGAAAGATGACAAGAGCCAGACCTGGATGATATAGTTGAGCTGCTGAATGAAACCTGGGGTTGCCTACCTACAGGCTTCTTACAATATGAGATAAATGCCTCTATTGCTTAAATTGCTCTTAAAGGTAAGTTTTTGTTGTGTATAGCCAAAGTATACCTAATAGATACAGGAGGTTGGCACAGTGCTCCGCTCCAGTCAAGAGATACATAGACATGGACCGTTACACAGCATTCATTCCAAAACACTGTTCTCAACAGGTGGGAAAACGTCTGGGAAGTTTTGGAACCTCTGGGATGTGAAAGGCATGAATAATTTGAAAAAGTATATTCAAAATGTAAAAAATGCACTATACATTTACAAATAATTATATTTTATAAATATACTTTACAAAACCTACAGTATTATTTTTTAGAGTAGTTCATACTTCTCAAACTCTAATGTGCACACAAATCACTAGGAATCTTCTTAAAATGCAGATTCTGGTTCCATGGGGTTGGGGGTGTTGAGATTCTGTATTTGTAACAAGCTCCTAAGGGATGCCAATGTTGACCCACAGACCACACTTTGAGTAGCAAGGTTGTGGACAACATTATATAATTTTGTTTATATTTCCAATTCATAGTTAAGAAAAAACCTCAACCTCATGTTATAGCTTTTATAATACAAACTACAAAAAGCTGATAAACGACAGGAAGTGTTGTGGGCACCCAGAAAGCAGAGAGTAAAATACCTGGGAAGGTGCCTGTGGTTGATGGAGTGTGTGACACATTGTGGTGAGGGAGCTGGATGGAGCTGGCATTTGTGGCACATCCATGGAGTTATGTCTTCTTGGGGTGTGTCTGCAGTATAGCATTAAGATACTTTATTTACTGTTTGATGTAGTTGCTAAAATATACAACCAGAGAGGGATTGGGGTGGGTGGGTAGGGGATCATGGTACAATTCATTCACTCACTCCTCTATTGCTGGACATCTGGGTTGTTTCCATTGGTTTCCTCCCATACAATTTATTTCTGTAGTGTCAGAATTTTCGTATTATCTGTTACTTTTGTGGTCAGGGAAAAAGGAATAAAAACCACGGGTCTGGAGTGGGGGGAAAACAAAAAGGATGAGGTTCCTAAATTTATAAGGCACCCTTGGAACTCACTAAGAAAAGAAGATAACCCCAAAGAAAGATGATAACCATACAACCACTTTTGGAGCATTTAGTATGTTCCAGAAACATAATGTTTTGCTGTATTCATTTAGTCTCCATAACTATCCTATGAGGTAGGTACCATTATTATCCCATCTTACAGAGCAGGAAACTGAGACACAGAAAGGTTAAGTAACTTGTCCAGAGTCACAGGCTTGTAGGCTCTTAACCACTACTACCCTGCCTCCCAAGAAAAATACGAAAAGGACATGTACAGAGCAAGGAAATGAGATAAGACACCCAGCCTCCAACATACTGTATTTCAGTGATTCTAAAATACAGATATTTACATTCAAACATCTGTGAAATCAGGATGCATCTTACAATCAATGATATCTTAGATTCAATGAAATACAGTAAGAGAAATGCAAATTAAAACCACCTATCAGATTGGCAAGGAACAAAACACTCGATAACACACTGTGTTGGCAAGGGTGTGGGAAAACTGGCACTCTTCAAAGTTGTGAGAGTTTAAATGGGCATGGCCTCGGTGGAAGGGCAATGTGGCTTGAGCTATCAAAACATAACACACGAACACCCTTGACCCAGTCATTTCTCAGGATTGACCCCTTGGGTCTACTGACCCTTATGAACAAACACTTCAGTTCTCCCATGCACATAATAGTAATTTGTTTGTATTATCCAAGACTGAAAATGACTCAACATCCAATGAGAGATGAGTTAAAAAACACAGGTCCATTCTGAAGCTGGAATGCTACACAGAATAAGGAAGCATTGATATAACAGTCTCCAAAATATATTGAGTGAAAAAAGGCAAGGTGCAGAACTGTGTATATAATATTCTACCTATTTTTGTGGAAATGGGGGGACAGACATGCCTCTATGCCTATATAAGATTCTTGCAAGGGTCTTGTTGAAATGATGGCCTCAGAGGAGAGGAACTGAGGGCTTGGAGGAACATGGGTGGGGAGCAATTTACTGTTCACTCTAGACCAGGAGTTGGTTAAGTTTTTCTGTAAAGGGCCAGATTGTAAATATTTTAGGCTTTGCGGGCCATTTGGTCTCCCGACTGCCTCTGTATTGAACAAGCTGCCGTAGACAGTATGCAAATAAATGGGTGTGTGTGTCAATACATTACAATTGATACTAAAATTTGAATTTCATGTGTTAGGAAATATTTTTCCCAACTTTAAAAAATTGCTCACGGGGCCCTGGCTAGCTCAGTTGGTTAGAGCATTGTCCCGATATGCCAAAATTGTGGGTTCAGTCCACGATCAGGACACATATAAGAATCAACCAATGAATTAATAAATAAGTGGAACAACAAATCAATCCCCCTCGTCTCCTTTCCCTCCCTCAAAATCAATAAAAAATTTCTTTTAATGCTCATGGGGCCATAGAAAAACAGGTGTGCCCAAATTGGCCTACTGGCCACAGTCAGCTGACCTCTGCTCTAGACAGTTTTGTATCGTTTGATTTTAATTCTTTACCTTATGCATGCATTACTTTTACAAAATAATGTTTAAGAGGGGAACTTGAAATTTTAGGTTTATCAAAGGGGTGGGGTTAAAGTTGGAGGCTAGCGTCCCGCCCAGAGCCCTCTAACAAGTGTGCACAGAGGACGATGTACATTCATTCCGTCCAGCTGGAAATCCGATCGCCCTGCACTGCCACCTGCCTCACTCCACCACCAGATAGCAGCACAAATCCACCTAAAACCCAGCTATCCCCACACCATCCTGCAAGTCAGGCGAAGTTGATCCACACGTACCTGTTCTATTTTGCCTGAGGCATGTTTAAAAAAATGGAACCAGCATTTAAAAAATCTGGGTTTCTGCCCTGGCTGGTTTGGTTCAGTGGTTAGAGCATCGGTTCTTGGACCGAAGGGTCGTGGGTTCCATTACCGATCAAGGGCGGGTATCTCAGTTGCATGTTCTATCCCCAGCCCCGTAGGGGCACGTGCAGGAGGCAACCAATCGATGTGTGTCTCTCTCCCTCCCTCCCTTCCACTCTCTAAAAAAATCAATGGAAAAAAATATCCTCTGGTGAGGAGTAACAAAAAGATAAAAAAAAAAAATAAATCTGGGTTTCCAGCTCTTCTTTATTATTTATTTATTTTTTCAAATGAATTTATTGGGGTGACACTGGTTAATAAAATTATATGTTTCACGTATACAATTATATAATACAGCATCTGAATATTGTATTGTGTTTCCCACCCAAAGTTCAGCTCCTTTTTAATCAGCTGATGTGTGTAGCAGTGGCCCTTTGGGGCCTGATGTCTCCAGGCCATCTGAGTTCTTAGTGTCAGCTGTTGTTTCTCACCCTGCTGTTTTCTCATAGAGGACACGTCTCACTGGCCACCTGCTTCTTCCCCTCCTTTTCCCCACTGGGGCTACAGGCAGGTGTTTGAGCACAGTGGCTCTGGGTCAGATCAGGGCTCAGATTCCATCCTTGCCACCTACCAGTTTTGTGACCTTGAGCATGTTACATGACCTCTGTGCCTCAGTTTCCCCATCTGCAAAGGGGGCTAAGTGTACTACCCTCTCAGAGCTGCAGGGACTGCCTGATGGGTCCCAATGCAGAGAGTTCTCCACAGTCTGGAGATAACTCAGTAGTTATTAGAATTTCCCCAGGCTCTGCTCTCATAGGCACTTGTTTGCAATAACCCCATCTCACAAATGACCCTAACACTCCCAACCTGATGCAAAACATACCTTCTTATGGTTTTGAAAAGTATTTTGAAAACCCCTAGGATTCCAGAGCAGGGAGAGGGTCTGAATATGAGGTCTGGCTCTGCCTTACTAGCTGTGGGCAAGTCAGTTCACCTCTGGACTCAGGCTGGGGTTTTTTGACTGACTCAGGATCTAACACAGGCTGGTAGGGCCTGGAAAATCTCCCCAGCAGGCCTCAGAGTGGGAAACCAATCATTGCAGCCCCAAGGCTGTTTATCTGGCACCTCCAAAGGGTTTGGCTGTTGGCCCATTCCACTGTAGACTTCTTGTGATAACACCTTACTTTTTTTTCAGGAACCATCCCTCTCTCCTCACATCCTGTGGCTTGGAAAGTATTGATCCTGCCTCTGCAACTCCAGGTGGACATGTTTCAGCCCTGGGCAATCAGAACACTTCTTTCTCCACCAGTCCACTACTCCCTCCAAGGTGATTGATGCAGGGATAAAAACATGACCCAATCCAGGCCAATGACAACCTACCCCAGGGGCTTTTGCTGCAACTACTGGGAAAGACTTTTGCTGCTGAGATTGCTGAGCTGGTCCAGTCGGCTCAGAGAAAAACGAGCTAATCAGAGACCAAGTTCTGATGAATCATGTGAGTCTGAGTCCTGTCAAAACTTAAGTCAAAACCACTTCTGAACTTTTCAGTTACATGAACTTAAAAAATTATTTTTGCTTAAGTTATAAGCAAAAGTTATAAGCAAAAGTATGAGTTGATGAATTCTAATACCTTTTGTAGTCCCATGAGATAGTCACAAATCAAAAGTCTAGTGGTGGACAAACTTTAAGGAAAATGAAGTTATGGGTCACATTTCTTAAAAAGTCCTTTATCTGTGACTGCCCTAAGAGTCTTGTCATTTCTCTGTTCTCAACAGGCTTTTTCTTCTAATATTGCAAACTCTTTGGCCCAGACTAGATATTGATTATAATGCCTGTAGTGTTCACTACTGAATCCCAGCGCCTAGCACATAGGCGGTGCCTTGTAATTATTTGTCCAATGAATATACGAACAAGATACTCATTTGTCTGAAATGTCCAGTGTCTTCCCCCTTTGCCTCGGCCTGAGGTTCTGTGTAACAAGTCCCTACTTTTCCAACCTCATTTTCCACCTTCCCCTTGCTCACTTCAGTCTAATCACACTGTCTCTTAAAAACCCCAAGTTGTTCCTGCCTCAGGGCCTTTGGACTTACTGTCCAGTCAAGACGCCTCTTTCCCCACTTCTCTCCCCAGCTGGCTCCATCTCCTCCTCTAGGTCTCAGCTCAAATGTCACCTCCTCAGAGAGCCCCTCCCAGACCACCCTGCCAAACAGCCCCAATGTGGTTGCTGTTTGATTTTCTTTACAAATCAACATTTGAATGCCCATGTGCATTTATATTTATTGTCCCTTTCCCTAAGAGGTCATCTCCACTAGGGTAAGTCCTTTTCAGTTTATGTTCACTGCTGTGCCCCAGGGTCCAGGTCAGAGCCTGGTACACACTAGATGCCAATAAACATTTGCTGAAGGAATTCACTAATGGGGATCAGCTTAGGATCTCCTGCAAGAGGACCATTCCTTACCAAATCATGGGGCTCCTCCAAGTGTTTGGTGTGGATATCAACATTAATTCACTGTCTCAGGTGACAAAGCCCCCATCCTGAGCCCAGGGTTGGGGTGGAGCTGGGAAGAGGCTAGGGGTGGGGCCTCACCCTCCAGACTCTCCCCCCAGCCAACCAGAAAACACAAGGCAGTCTACACAAGGTTAAGTAGACTCTTGCTGCTTTGTTATAAATATATTATGTACATCCAAAACATGACATTAAAATATTACTTCATGTTACAGAAAAGATATTAAGGCTTTCTATTATTTACATTAAACAAGCAAGCACCTTTAAAAAAAAAACACCCCCAAAAGCCCTCTTCCTTTTGTGACATACCCCTGGCTGGAAGGGACACTGTGTCCCCTTCCAAATGATCAAGACCCATTGCAGGGGCTGTGCCCTGTGAAGTCATCCTTCCTTCCCTTAGAAACATCAGCTCTGGCTGGAATCACATGGGCAGATGGGGGAGGGGTGGGGAGGAGGAGGGTCCAGACCTGGGCAGGGGATTCTGGCTTCTTCTGGTCAACTATCCTTGAATGGACAGGCTGGTCTGGGGTTGTCCACCAAGGCCGTTAGGGTCAGTCTGCAGAGTTATGGCAGAGCAATACTCCAGGGACACTTAGGTGTGCCTGGGGGCTCCTAGACCACAGGGAACAGACAAGGAGGGACAGATAAGAGGACTTAGTGGCTCCAACACCAGCCATGCTGAAGGGCTGCCCAGTGGAACTGCGGGAGGTCAGAGTGTGGGGGAGTGGGTGAACTTCCCCTCTACCCAAGGGGCTCCTTTTTCTGCAGTCAGGCTTGGCAGACAGAGCAGCTCAGGTATCTAAGGAGGAGCCAAGGAAAGAAATGGAAAAAAAAAAGGAAAGGAAAAATCAGTGGCTCAAGTATTCTGTGTCACAAAGGGTGGGCTGGGGGGTGCCCAAGCCCAGCCCAGGAGGCATCCTCTCCACCTAGAGGGGCCAGTGCGAGGAAGGCTGGAATTTGGCAGATGGCTTCGGTTTGGGGAGGCCAGGGGAAGTTGGCAACGAGGTGGCAGGCTGGAGGAGTTATTTGATCTTTTGGGCCCATTTCATGTCATCTGCACGAGGCTTCTCGCCAGTCAAGCCCTGGATGAGGTCCTCTAGGCGTCGCCAGAATCCCATCTTTTCCAGAGGGTAGTTGAGCCAGCCTGCAGTGGAAACAGGGCGCCAAGGGGTTGAATGGGAGAGGAGCAGTTGAGGGAATATAGGGAGAGAGCTGGTCCTGCCTGCGGCAGGAGCAATAGGGAGTGTGTCTGCAGAAGGGAGGGGACAAGGACTGACCAAGGAATCTGGGAACCAGGGCCTCCCACCAATGGTCTCGGGCTGCTCAGACATGCCTGCATCCTCTCACTCATTCATTTTCTTACTGAGCACTTACTATACACTAGGCATGGTGGAAGCATTTCTTATCACTTTGCTCAAATGTCACCTCTCCCAGGAAGCCTTCCCTGGCCACCACTTAAACCAGGCCTGTGGCACCCCCCCTTTTATTTCTTTATAGCCTTTCTGATAATGTAACTAATCTCATTAATTCAGCACTTCCATTTTTTGTGTGGGTTTTTCTCCCCAACTTTCAACTAGAATGTTAGCTCTGAACAGCATAACCTCATGTTCTTTCACTGTTGATCCCCAGTGCCTAGAAGAGTACCTAATAGTTAGTAGGTGCTCAATACACATTGCTTATAATCTTATTTCATCTGTATTACAGTCTCCCACCCAAACCAGGCAGATACTATTATCAGTTCCCTTTTCCACATGAGAAGACTGAGACTTAGAGGGAAGTTTCCCAATTAGTTGGTTGCCAAACCAAGATTAATCCTAGGGCTGGCTAAACAGTTTAACTCAACTAAATGGCCCAAATTCTAGCTCTTCCACCAGCTCTCAAAGAGCACGACTTTAGGACATGCAAAATATATTTTTTGTGGCTCTCAGTTCTGCCTCCAGAAAAACAAAACAAAAACCCCAGTAGCTTAGCGAGTGTCTACTATGTGCCAAGGACTTGCATCTGCCATCTTGCCATTCACATCCAGCCCTGCAAATATGGTATGTGAAGGAAGTGGACTGCAGCTCCATTTTGTGGATGAAAAACATAACATCTGGGGAGGTTTTAGTCTTCTAAAGGCACACATGGATGAGATGATAGGTTAACCTAAGTTGGCCTGACTTGATAGCACCTTATATACTTAACCTTGAAAGACACCCAGCTGACCCTGGAAAACCTGCTCACCTGCCTCATCTCACCTCTCTGGTACTGGCCCATTACTAATGGCATGTGTGCCTTCCTTACTGTTCCTCACTCTAGGCATCTTCCTGCATCAGGACATTTGTACCTGCTGTTCCTTGTTTGGACTGATCCTTCCCTATTTATCTGCAAGGGACTTGCCCTCCTACACTTATTTTAGTTTTCTAGCCTCCTCATATATGAACAGCCACTCCCCTGCCCCCATGACTCTATGCCCTTCACCCTGCTTTGTTTTCCCCCATAGCATTTCTCTACTGTCACTCTGCCCCTCAAGCCCTCCACTCTAACCACCCTAGCTACCTTGCTGCTCCTCAAACAAATGTGCATGCTTCTGCCTGAGGGCCCTTGCACCCACTGTTCCTGCTACCTGCAGTGCTCTTCTTTCAGATCTGCATGACTTTCTCCCTCAGTTCAAATGTCACCTTCTCAGTGAGGCCTTCCCTGACCACCCTACTTAAAGTGCGAAGCTCCCCATTTCCTTCTTCTACTCCTACTTTATTTTCAATTCTCCATAGCAGTTAGCACTATCAGATGTAGGACTAATTTATTTATTATCTGGAATGTCCCCTATAAGAATATAAATGCCTTGAAGGCAGGATTTTGCTTGTTATGTTCGGTACTGTGTCCTAAGCCCAGAGCAGTGCCTGGCACATAGTAGGTGCTTAATAAATATTTGCTGGATGGATGGATGGTTGGAATCACAACTCCATAAGGTGGGGTGGGGGAGGCTCTGTCTTGTTTACAGCTGTGTCTTTAGCATCTAGGAGAGTGCCTGGCACATAGTAGGTGCTCAATAAATGTGTTCTGAGAGAATGTTCCCCCAGGGCAAGGACTGCATGACCTCCCACTGTGACCTGTGCCCTCCTGACCCTGAGGATGGAGTTGTAGCCAGAGGGGAGGGGGTGGTGTCCTATTCTATGCTACCCTACAGCCGCACCTGTGGTGATGCAGAAGTAGGTCTCATGGGGTGAGACGTGGTGGATGCGATGGTGTTTACGAGGCAGGATGACATGCCAGTCCTGCAGGAGGGTGACCCAGCGTGGTAGCCCAAAGTACGTGTGAGACCACTTGTGGATCTGGTTGGTGAAGGTGCCGAAGATGATCAAGCAGAAGACGAAGCATTCCCAGGGGTACAGTTGCTCCAGGGCTTCTGCAGGGTGGGGAGAGGGTGGGTACCCACAGGGCCCACATAACTGTCACACTGGGTGGGGGCCCACCACCAGCCTGGCCCTTGCCACTCGCCCTGGGCAGCTCCCATCCCAGGGTAGCACCCATGCCTCCTTCCAGCCTCCCGCGTGGCCTAGGCAAGTTCCGGCTCCCCTCTGCTCAGCAGGTAGATAATGAGAAGCATGAACAACAGTTAAGAACAGGGAGCTGCAGTGCTAGGTTAGATCCCTGTTACGACACTTCTTGGCTGTATGAGTCTGGGTCAGCAGCTCTCTGCCTCTTTGAGTCTTAACTTCCTCATCAACAAAATGGGAGTAAGTCTTTATCCAGGTTCCCTAAAAGCACAGCCTGAGACAAGGATTCGGGTGCACGTGATTTATCGGAGGGTGGGGAAGAACCCTCTCTTCTGGAAAAACATCTGAGGGAGTGAAGGAAGCAGGACAGGGAAGAGCTAAGCAAAGGTGGGGTGGGGGAGTCTTGCCTCAGCCCGATCCTGGGGGGAACTCTGGAGTTTTAATGGCTCCATAGAATTGGTCTCACTCAGAAATGAGGGAGCTGGGTTTTTGTAGGTATTTCCTGTCACCGGCTTCAGGCTTACCCCCAGTGGAGAGGTGGGACCTGCTCTAGCAGTTCTCAAAAGGGGAAGCTGGGAGCTGTCAGCAGCCACCCCCTCACAACAGTGAGGAGACGGTTCCACCCCTCGGGAAGAGGATTGGGTGGAGCCCCACAGCACCCACTACACTACAGACACTCATCTACCCACGGGAGGCTGCTCTAAGGATCAACGAGGTGTCAAATTGTTAGAGCAAGACCTGGAAGAGGAAGGACTCATTTCCCTGCCTTAGGACAAGTTCCCTCCCTAAATTAGGTAGGGGAGAGATCTGAACGAGGGACTGTCTGAGTTCACAGCTGATGACCTCTCCACTAAGCCAGGGCAGCAAAACCAGAAGCTCTCAGGGTCAAGCAGATAATACAAATAAGCAAGGGAGGCTGGGCATAGGATAGGAGGGAATAGTGGGGATTGTGGCAAATTGGAGAGTGTGCATTCCTGTCCAAAGGCGGCACCCACAGCTTAGCTCTAGCCAAGTGGGAACAAAGATCCAGGGTGGCCAGATTGGATTGTTTAAGGGAAGCCGGAAACACAAATCTTTATGTCAAATATCCCAATTTTACATGAATGTAACTAACTAAAAATGTTTTATAACACTGTGAGAGGCCAAACACACACACACACAAGTCACAGGAGGCTCATGGGGGTTGTGGGGAGTGTTTGTCTCCAGTGGCCCCCTGGAGGTCCACCATCAGCCGTGGGGCACGCTCACCGGGGCTCTGGGTGTGGAACTTGTAGGCCATGTTCAGCAGTGGCAGCAGTGTCACCAGGCAGTTGTCCCCGTTGGTCTCGATGAAGTCATGACGTGTAATGGCTGTTGGGTCGATGTGATGCTCCCGGAATGGTCGGATGAAAGCCTGGGGTGGGACAGGGAGGAAGGAGTGGAAATAGATCCGGCCACTCAGCCTATGGTGGTCCCACCCAGCCTTGGGGGTCTAGGTCTAGCAGAAGACAGGACGAAACGACCTGGCAGGGACCTTGGGCTGGTACTGCCCCCCTTTGGGTCTCAGTCTCCCCACCTGGCTATGAGGGCTCTTGGAGACAATCTCTGCCCGTCTTGTCCCCTCTAAGACAGCTGAAGAGGCCCTCCCAGTGACAGGCGGGACCCTCTATTTCTTCCCAGCATCTAAGCCCGTCCTTCTGGTAACATCCTTTCCCTCTTCTCTTAGAACAATGAATTCTAACCCCACCACTTCCTAGTTAAGAGTGAGCATGTGACCCCGGCTTGGCCAATCAGAGCATTCCGTCCCTGTGGCCATAACGACTGGCTTAGGGTTGGGCATGTGACCCAAGCTGGGCCAATGGGAGGGAGCCATGGGACTCTGACTGGAACCGCCGGAAAGGAAGGACCCTCCTTCCGGCGAGGGTGGGCGCTGGGCTGGGAGCCGCCTGGGCCGCCCCACCAGCGGGAAAGCCTACACGAGAGTGAGGCCAACAGAGAGGAGGGCAGAGGCCGACGTGGACAGAGACCGAGTCCGAAGAATATGTAAGGTTTGTCTGTCTTACTGGACCCAGCCACGTCTTTAATTTGGCTCTACTCCTGAAATCTTCAGTACACTAATCAGTACCTTTGCTTGGTTCAGCCCGTTTGTACCGGATTTTCTGTAGCTTACAACCAAAAAGGCCTGACTGGTACAAGATAAAGTTCAATGAAAACAAACAAACAGTGAGGCGCAGCAGGGCAGGCAAAGGAGAACAAGACACGGTCCCAAAGTCAAGGGACTCCAGTGAGCTGGACACATATTAAAGCTCTCTGACTGTCCCATGCCTGATGCTTTTGTTTCCAGAAAATTCCGGGGGATTCCTGTTCTGATCCTGGAGGAGGGGCATGCAGGCCAGGCTGGAAGGATGGTTTCCACCTTTCAGATGGGGAAACAGAGGCTTGGACGGGAAAGGGAACTCACCCTATGTCAGAGCCCAGTCTCCTTCCAGAGGAGAGGGCTGGGCTGGGTCAACATACGCACCTTCCCCACAATGGGCAGCTCCACGGAACCCCAAGTGTCGGCTCCCCAGTGCACCAGGCCAGACAGGAAGTCAGCAATGAGAGCCCCTGCAACTGTGCACAAGAACAGGGTGAGTGGTGGGGGACGGGACACACAGAGGGCCATCTCCCCGCCTGCCCGCCCCAAACCAGGGAGTCACGCATTTACTCACTGGCTTGCTCTCTGGCTCACTCATTTGTTAGGGGGGAGCCTTCTCTACTTGGCAGCTTTCTTTCCTGTGAATGGAGCCTCAGGCATAATACTCCTGGTCTCAGTCTCGGTCTTTCCCTTTACTTGTTCTGCCCCAGGGGAGATTCGGGGACTGGAGAGAATAAACTGGGCATGCTCAGATCAGGCAACCTTTCCCTATTAGGAGCTGACTGTCCCCCTGTCTCCAACCTGCAATCACCCCACAGAGGGCAGCCCATTCTGCTACAGTGTTGCCGGTGACTAGATGGAAATGTCCTTCTGGAGTTTGGTGTCAAGAACTACCTTAGGTGCAGATAGATACCATGCTCCCCAATCCAACCTAGCTTTTATCAACAATAAACGTGGTAATTTGGCATCCAGCAGCCTTTGCCTTATCTTTGTTTTCAATTTGTTCAGAACTGGAGTGGTGTCCCCTTAGAGACCCCAACACCATTCACTCACTTGAGGGTTCAGTATGACACAGAGGCAAAGAGCTGTTAGATCTGGACTCAAATTCCAGCTGTCGCTCACTAGCTGTGTGACAGTGGGCATGTTACTTAACCTCTCTGTGCCCCAGTTTCCTCTAGATGGATGGGAATGATGATGAGTTTTAAAAATAGCAGCTACCATTTATTGAGCACTTTCTTGGTGTCAGACACAAGTGCTTTACATGCTTTATTTTAATAAATTCTCATAATTTGTTAGAAGCTGGTACATTTTTTCTCTCACTTTATAGAGATAGGAACTGAGGTTAGGAGAATGGAAGTAACTAGACTGAGGTGGCATAGGTGGCAGGGTTGGGCTCTTAACCAGCCTTGAGGTCCAAATCTAACACAGCAGGATGAACCATCACCATTGTACACATGGGGAAACTGAGGCAGAGAGGCAACCACCTGTCCAAGGTAATACCCCAGAGCCACCTCCATCACACTCCCCTCACTGCACCTCAACCCTCTTGGTGTATGCCCTTTCCTTTGCACAGCCTTGCATGTCTCTGGGTCTTCACACTTGCTTTCCCCTCTCCTGGAACATTCTTTCCCAAGATGTAACACATCTCACTCCTTCACTTCCTTCAGTTCTTTACTCAAAGTCCTCCAGGGACACCTGATCTAAAATTGTACCTACTCTCACCTCCCAGCATTTCCTATTTCCTGTCTCCTTTATTCCAAGCACCTGTTACCTTGGACTTCAGTTTTCTTTGTTTACTGTGTCCCTCACAAGAATGGTAGCCCCACAAAGGCAGGGATTTTAGTCTTTTGTTTATAGCTGTACCCTGGTTCCTGGCACTTACCAGGGGTTCAGTAAGTACTCATTGAATTAGTCAATGTAAACACTAAGTATGGTACTTGGCACACTGTAAGCCCTCGATACCCTGTGCTGTGCACCAAGCTCTGGAGCCAAAGGTGTATCAGGCATTGAGCTCACTGTCTCTGGGGCAGAGACACGAGGCAGGAACAGCTATAAAATGTGGCGGGGAATGAAGCCGTTTTCAGTGATAAGTATAGTCCACTGGGTCATGTGATTTCACCCCCCACCCCCCACCCCCGATTCAGTTTCTCTTTGTGAATTTGTTCAAGGCCCAGCTAGGCCATTTAAGAGTTCTTTGAGTTCTGTTAGGGTCCTCAGTCCCTTGGTGACAAGAGATCAGGGCCACTGTGGAGGCTGCAGAAAAGTCCCCGGAGGCCTCCCTGGAGAATGAGGGTCATGCATGAGGGGGCAAGAGTGGGCAGGCGGGTCACTGGATATGCAGTTCTGATGCCTGGGCCCAATTTAAGGGGTAGCCATGAATGAAGACTTTCCACAGGCACGGAGCCTCCACCCCATGGATGGTGAGGTAGGGGAGACACACAGCTCTATGCAAGCACCTGCAAGTTCTTGGTGACAAGGACAGGTGGGGACAAGCACCACCTCCTGGCATGCGGAAGCTGAAAGATAAGCCATAGGGTAACACTACACAGGTGGCTGGGTTGGGAAGAGGTCAGGGCTCAGCAGGGCCCTCTGGGCCTGTGTACCCAGGGTGCCACCCAGGGCTGGGCAGTCCTGCCCTTCAGTAACAATGCTGGGAGGGTGGACCCGGCAAGAGTCTGGGAGGCCAGGGAGACGGAAGCCAAGGGCTTTTGCACTTGCTGTTCCTCCAGCTGGCACCCCACCCCTCCCTAAAGATCCCTGAGTGGCTGGCTCCTCCTCAGCCTTCTAGTCAGGGCAAACATCACCCAACTCCCCTGGTGAAAGCCAACCTCTCAGGCAGGTGCTCTAGGTCATGTCTCTGTGCTTTCTTTCTTTTGAGGGGGGGGCAGAGGGAAGAGTCATAATTTATTTGTCTTTTACATGAAAACAATTGGGGGTAGGGAGTGAACAAGGGGGAAACTAGCCAGCTGCTGAGATTTTTCTGACATCGGAATGGGCAGCTGGCTAAGAGACAGGACCTGGTCCCACTGCAGCACGGTGATGCACCTGGACCAGAAACAGCTACTGAAGCATCGTTTCCACTGGGTTCTGTCTCAAGCTAAGCAGGCTAAGGTTACACTGGAAAGTGACACTGTCTGGGAGTATTTTCCTTAAGAGCAGAGAAGACTGACATGCAGCAAGGCAGCAGTAGAGCATCTGTGCTTTATTTCTATCATGGCACTTGTCACCACCTGAGATGGTATCATTTTATCTCCACTTCTTAGATGAGTAAAGGGGCTCTGAGAAGTTGATTCCTCCCCACCAGTCCCATGGCATAGAAGTGGCAGCCATGGGATGGGAAGAGGCGGGTCTACCTGCTTTTAAAACCAGCACCCTTTCATGCCCTTAAACTACACCTCAGTAGGTCCAGGGGCATGGATAGAGCTCCTACTGCGTACTACAGGATACTCTATACACACTATACCTAGGAGGGACAAGAGGCTATGTGGCCAAGAGCTAAGATGAATCCAGATCAAGAATCGGGGGCCTCAGCTCTTGCTACCATATTGCTTCATGACCCTGGGCAAGTCCCTTGCCCCCTCTGGGCCTCAGCATCTTCACTTGCATAGTAAGGGGTCAACTGAGGTGCCTCTTGAGACTCTATCCCCACAACTCTGACTAACGATGCCTCTAAATGCTGCCTACACGCAAAAGCAGCCTCTCAGTGGGTGACCTTGTGCTCCCTAACTTTCCTCCCACCCCTGTTCCATGCAACCACTGATCTGTGCTTTATTGTAGATTGGTTTTGCACATTCGAGAACTTCACATGAATGGATTCATGTAGTATGTGCTCTTTGAGTCTAACTTCTTTCATTAGCATAATGCTTCTGGAGTCATCCATGTAGGTGGGGGCAAGGGACTTGCCCAGGGTCATGAAGCAAAATGGTAGCAAGAGATCAGCAATTCATCGTTTTTATTGCTGAGTCATATTCCAGTGTCTGGAAGTACCACAGTTGTTTATCTATTTCACTGTTGGACGTCTGGGTTGTTTTCAGTTAGGGCTATTATGACTCAAATGTCTGTGAAAATGTTCACATATAAGCCTGTGTGTAGACATAAGCCCTCTTTTCCTTTGGGTGAAGATGTCAGCTATTCCTTATTTTTTTTAACTTGACATTTGTTAGGCACTTTAGGTACCAGGCCCTATGTTAGCACCTTAAATGTTTTATCTCTTTTAATCCTTACACTGTACCAAGGTGAATCCTAAGCTGGTTATACATCTTAGCTCCACAATCATCCTAAGCATTTAATCCTAACAGAGGACAGGAATAACAATAAAAACAATACAGACTTACAGTGGTTCAACTTACGACTTTTTGACTTTATGATGATATGAGAGCAATACACATAAATAAATTACGTATGACATTTAATAGTTCATTATAAAATAAGCTTTGTGCGATGATTTTGCCCAACTGTAGGCTAATGTTAAGTGTTCTGAGCACATTTAAGGTGGGCTGGGCTAAGCTATGGTATTCAGTAGGTTAGGTGTATTAACTGCATTTTTGACTTATGATATTTTGCTGGGATGTAACCCCATCCAAAGTTGAGGAGCATCTGTATTAGAAAAACAATATTGGTGATAACAATTAATATTGGAGCACTTCCTGTGTGCCTGGTAGGTGTTAAAAAGTGCATTATCAGGGGTCATAGCTCCCCATACCTCAAATATGGACTGTCCACAGTGACTTCCTTCCAAAGAGATGCAGTCCGGAAGGGGGGAGGACAGTAATTTGCAGTGGAGAAAGCTAACGGACACTACCTGGGCCAGGTGGTCAAGGTCAGGTGCTGTCATGTTCATAGTACACATTCTTGCTATGATGTGATGACAATGACCCTTTACCTCTGAACCTTTCCTCTCCAAAACATACTAGCCAGTCTAAGAAAAACACCAGACAAATTCCAGTAGAGGGGCATCCAACGAAATTCCAGTCCTCAAAACTGTCAAGGTCACCAAAAACAAGGAAAATCTGAGAAACTGTCACAGTGAAGAGAAGCCTAACGGGACATGACAACTAAATGTGATGTGGAATCCTGAATGGGACCCTGGAACAGAAAGAGAACACTAGGTGAAAATGAAGGCAGTCTCGCCCAGCTGGTGTGGCTCAGTGGTTGAGCATCGACCTATGATCCAGGAGATCCCAGTTCAATTCCCATATAGGGCACATGCCCGGGTTGCGGGCTCGATCCCCAGTAGGGGGCATGCAAGAGGCAGCCGATCAATGACTCATCATTGATATTTCTATCTCTCTCTCCCTCTCCCATCCTCTCTCTGAAATAAATAAAAATATATTAAAAACAAAATGAAGGCAATCTGAATAAACTGTGGGCTTTAGTTCATAACAATGTATCCATATTGGAACAGTAATTATAACCAATACATGATACTAATATAAGATATAAGATGCTAATAATAGGGGAAACTGGGGCAGGGGTATATGGGAACTATACTATCTGCTCAATTTCTGTAAATCTAAAACTGTTCTAAAAGTAATGTCCATTTAAAAACATGTAGTCCAGCTGGGCGTGGCTCAGCAGTTGAACATCGACCTAGGATCCAGGAGATTGAGGTTTGATTCCTAGTCAGGGCACATGCCCGGGTTGTGGGCTCAACCCCCAGTCGGGGACGTGCAGGAGGCAGCCGATCAATGATTCTCTCATCATTGATGTTTCTATCTCTCTCTCCCTTGCTCTCTCTGAAATCAATAAAGATATATTTTAAAAAAATAAAATAAGTAAAAATAAAAAAATAAAAATGTGTATTATCTCACTTCATGTCTTACTGTGATGGGCCCTCCCACCTCCCGACTTCCAGAGGAAGAAATGAGACTCAGGGGGTAAGGACTGCCCAAGGCCACACACTGGCTGGGCAGTCAAGGCTCCTAGCAAGTGGCCAGAGACCATCGCAAGGTGTTCAGGATGACACTGAGCCTTCATGTCCAAGTCTAGGAAATGGGAATTTTAACAGTAGTCACTTCGCTGAACTAAAATCAAGTTAATAAGATGGGCTAATGCAAGTAAAGTGCTCAGCATGGTCCCTGGGCCACAGTAAGTGCTCCCCAAATGTACTATAGTTAGTAGTTTAAATATTACTCTCCTTTTAGAGCCTCAATCTTGTCATCTGTTAAATGACCAGCACAGGCCTTTGCAGGCTGCCAAGCAGGGAGGGATGGATGCCTGAACAGAGAGGTCAGGAATCATTTGGGAAGAGAATGAGCTGTCCTCTCCTTGTGGGAGGAAATGGCTCTGTGATCCCCAGGCCCCTGCGGGTGGCTGATTTTAGACTCTAGGCCTGCTGCCTGAGGCTGCTTTAATGGGGGCAACGGTGGCAGAGGCGGGCACACAGAAGCTTCTTTGTCCCAGCTGGTGGTGGTGGCTGGCTCACCCTGGGGATGGCTTTGGCCGGCTGGGCCCAGTTACCGCCCTGTCTGCAGGGATAGGGAATGGGGGAATGACTCATTCCAGGCTACCTTCACTCACTAGGTGACCTTCAGATAATCCCTGGGCCCCTTGGTCACTTCCCCAGAGGTCACCCAGCAGGGACTTCTTTGCTCTCGCCAACTCAAGGCCTGGTATGGAGACAGAGTAACTGAGACAGAGTGGACACTGCTGAGGGCTGGTCCATATGGTCAGGGCCAAACCCTAGCTTTCAGCTCAGAAACACAGAGACGCCACCTGACCTACCAGGACAGCATGACCTGAGGCCATGTGACCTCTGTCCTCACTGCAGACCTACCCAGAACACCGTCTCTGTCTGCCAGAAAACTACTTTCTCTTCCAAAGACCAGCTCACAAGCCCACACACTCCTCCACTTCCCCCGAGTGCAGCACACAGCTCAGGGCTCCCAGGGCTGTTCACTTGCTGGCTCATTCATTCACGACAACAGTTCTGGTCAGGTCGCTAATGACCTCCATGTGGCCAAATCCAGTAGTCCCGTCACTGCCCCCCAAGTCTTCTGGAAACATATTCTCCTCTGGCCATGCCCCCACCTCTCGGCTGGTCTTCCTCCTATCCCCAACCTGGAAGCACCACAGTCTTGGGTTCTGCTCCCGTTCAGCTCCCGGGGGTTCTCCACCAGCATCTGAGCCTCAAACACCATCTCTAACCGCCAGGCCTCCCAGAATTTGCTCTCTAGCTGCCCTCCCTGATTCTAGACTGGGATTTCTGATTTCCTGCTAGACAGACAACTTCCCTTTGGCCCTCAGGCAGGCATTTTAAGCACCTACCTGTAAGCCAGCTCCTTCAGCCTCATCCTATCACTCAGGCCAAAAGCCTGGAGAAGCACCTGACCCCACTCCTTTCACCTCCAGCCAATCTCACAGCATATGGGTGGCTCATCTTTCACAGCTTACCCCTAATTTGACAACTCTACCCTCTACCGCCCTACCCAGGTCCAGGCCGCCACCCTTGCCTCCTCTCTGGCCCTTGCTCTCCACCCCCTCCCCCCCAATTTTCCCTACAGCATCATTTAATGTCAGCTCCTTGAGGGGAAACTCACAAATGGCTGCTCACAGCCTTTGGAATAAAACCCTGGCATCCTCTCCACTCCCCTAAGCACTGGGCATGCACCAGCCTCAGGGCCTTTGCATTTGCAGTTCCCTTGGCCTGGAATACCCTTCCCAGAGATATCTGCCAGGCCCCCTCTCTCACCTCTTTCAGGTCTCTACACAAATGTCACTTTTACAGAGAAACTGTCCCTGACCTTGCCTCTTCCCTGCCTACTCCCTTATCTTGATTGTGTTGGCAGTATTACGACATCTATTTGCGTTTATTAACTGGGCACCTTTTCCTGTTTCTGCTTTCCCTAATTTCAAAGGCCTTGCAGAGGCACCGGAACCTCTGGGGAGATAATGCTGGGTGGGGGGCGGGCTCTGTAGACTGGCACAGTGCCGTTACAGCCTGTGTATTAACATACGAATCAGTGCAGCTACTTAAACTGATTAGGGACTGTGTAAACACTGCTATCACGGGACTGTCTGTTCTTATCAGCCCAGAGGCAAAGGTATGAGACTGGGAAACAGGAATCAGATGCACTGGCTGGACAGTCAGAGATCTCCTGGGCTGAGGGCTGGAAGCTGCCTGGTCCCAACCATGGGAGTGGTGACCTGTCTGGGATGCCCACTTTCAGGGCTCAAACAACACACACCTAGGCTCTGAGGCTGCTGATCCTTTGCCCAAGCTGGGCTCACTGTCTAGAACACCCTCTCCTCCCAGTGCTAACTGGAGGCTGTACAGTCCCTGGTTTAGGAGCCCGGCAGGTCTGAATATGTGATACCAGACTCTGCTGCTGCCTGGGTGAGGGCCAATGGGCAATCACCTGGCCACTTAGAGGCTGGTGGTCAGAGCCTTCTCACTAGGCTGCCACCAAGAGTTAAAGGTGCCCAGCCTGGGGCCTGGAATAGTAGGCGCTCGGGAAATATCCCTGTTAGACTGACCACTGAGGCAGAAGGCCCAAGCCCTGGTGAGTGGTACGATGGGTGGTGTCCCCTCCATACTTCTGTTCAGTCACTGGCCCTCTGAGCAGTTATACACACACTCATTTTGCCTTCATGCTAACCCTAGAAGGCAGGTACTATGAGCAGCTTCACTTAAAAGATGTGGGAAACGAGGTGCAGAGATGCAATGACACTTGTCCAAGGCCACACACAGCCAAACAGTAGCGGAGCTGGGATTTGAACCAAGGTCAGCAGGGGCCTGCTCGTAACCACCCCAGATGGGGCTTTAGGGCTCACTGTCTGCATTACTGCCCTTGAATGAGAGGCTGGAGGTGCAGGTCCCTCTCACCCCTGGGCAGAGAGGTACATCTGGCTCCTGCCAGTGGGGCCCAGGCTCCCCAGCACTGGATGGGTTAGCCTCCCTCCCCTCCAGCTGCCCTGGCCCCCTAGCACATGCCCACCCCTACCCCAGACCAAGATGGCTTATTTAGCCTGAGCGCTACTGGCTTAGGTGGCCAGAATGCTTTTAATGAGATTGTGGGAGCTGAACACTAGGAGTAGAAACAGTGAATTAAGAACTATGTAGTGCTTCTGGCTTGAGGTGTGACTCTGGGCCAGTCCTTTCTCTGAGCCTCAGTTTCCTCTCTGAAAAATGATAACTGCAGCATCTACCTCCTAGGCTGTGGATGGGTGAGGACTTACCAGCAAGTACTAATAAGTTGCAGCTTATTCATTCATTCATTCATTCAATAAATATTTATTGAGCACCTACTGTGTGTCAGGCCTTGTGCTTGGGGCTGGGGACATAGTGGTGAACAGAAAAAATCTCTACACTCAGGAAGCTGACATTTGAGTAGGGGAAAACAGAAATAAACAAAAGAGAAATATATTGTGTAAAAGAGTAGAGTGAGAGGCTAGTGTATGACAGGGCTGCTAATTTTTTAAAAAATCCTCACTTGAGGATATTTTTTCCATTGCTTTTCAGACAGAGTGGAAGTGGGGGAGAGAGAGGGAGAAAGGGGGAGAGAGAGAAACATTGATGTGAGAGAGACAAATCGATTGGTTGCCTCCTGCACATGCCTCTACTGGAGCTGGGGATCAAGCCTGCAACAGAGGTAAATGCCCTTGACCGGAATTGAACCCAAGACCCTTCAGTCTACAGGCAGACACTCTAACCACTGAGTGAAAGTGGCTAGGGCAGGGCTTCTATTTTTGAGGAGTAATTGGGAGGGGCTCCCTGAAAAGGTGACCTCTGAGCAGAGAACTAGATGAGGTAATGAACTATGTAGGTATCTATAGGAAGTGTTCCAGGCACAGGGGAAAGTATATGCAAAGGACCTGAGGTAGGAGTATATCCAGCACATGGCAGAGGCACAGTGAAGAGGCCAGTGTGATGGGAGCAAGGTGAGCCAGAGAAGAGTGGAGGGAGATGAGGTCTGAGAGGGGGCTGGGGCCAGGCTATGCTGAGGAGCTGGTGTTTCATTCTGAGTATAGGGGAGAACAGGGGAGTGGCATACTTGACTGACGTTCTAACAGGATCCCTCTGGCCACGTGTGGAGAATGGAGGCAAAGGTGGAAGTGGGGAGACCAGGGAGGAGGATCCTAGATAGTCCAGGCGAGAGAGGATGGGGGCTGGACCAGGGTGGGGACAGTGCAGGTAAAGAGTAATGGCTGGATTCCAGATGCATTTTGAAAGTATAGCCAAGAACATTTGCTGGTGCTCTGGATGTGCAATGTGACAGAAAGAGAGGAGTTGATGATGATGCCCAGGTTTTTGGCCCAAGTGATGAGATGAGAGGTGGAGTTCTCACAGCACGCACCGCACTCGTGTGCACACACAGGAGTTCACACATCCATACATGTATACACACGTGCAAGTCGCCGTCGGAGGGTTGCAGAGAGTAGGTATGTCCCTGGGCCCCGTGGGAACTGAGTCAGGCAGCAGAGCCTTGGGCACTCACCAACACCCAGCATTACGAGGGGCGTGTGCTCCCAGCGGGCCAGCAGCAGGAGGTGGACCAAGTTGTGGGCAATGAGGCTGAAGCATAGGACCACACAGCACCACTCCTGGAAGCGCTTGCCTGTAGGGAGACAGGTGAGAGGTGAGCATGTAGGGCTTCTGATTCTCACGAGAAGCCAGAACTCAGGGCAGGGATATGAAATCTTCTCTTTAAACATTGCCACGTATTTTTAATAAGCAGCTTTGTTTGAGGTGTCAAACCATTGGAAAGAACCTAGGTGTCCATGGCCTGGGGTCAGCCAAATTAATTTGGTCCACAGCATCTCTGTAGCCAGGAAAAAGCCAGGGTGTGCACATGTTAGAATATCCAGGACACACTGGTAAGTGCAAACAGCAGCCATTTATGAAAACAAGGAAAAACAAAAAAACCCGCAAAAACAAAAAAATCAAACACAAAACCCCCACTATGTAGTTGAGACTAGCTTTTACTCCCTTTAGAATTTAAAATTTGTGAATGTACTAACTCTATCAAAAATATTTTCTTATAATTTTAAATTAAAATTTTTAAAAGTAAAAGGAAATAAAACTAGCATGTGGGTGACACAGAATATATGACAGGGCCCCTGAGAATGAATATTGTTTTCCCAGGCAGCTGGTGCCAAGGGCATGGATGGCCCTTAATGATAATAATTTTATTGTTAGTGTTTAACATTTACTGAGCAGATACTATGTGCCAGGTATCAGCTGAGGTGATGCTGTTTTGCAGATGAGAAATCTGAGGGTCAGAGTGATCCCAAGGAAGTAACCCAAAGACACCCAGCTAGTCATCCAGACCAGGATCCTGTGGCCAGAGGGTTTGACTCCTGAGACTCTGCTCTTACCTGTCCTGCTGTCCCTGGTCCCTCTCTTCATTTCCTAGAATACATATGGCCCTGATCACATTCTGAGATAGGATCACCTTAAATAACAGGGCCAGGCAGGCCCCTGTGAGTGATTAACCACCGAAGGGGCCAGGGCACTTCAAGTTTTCTCCTGCATCTGTTCTCTCCTCCCTTTAGCTTTGTATGTGCTATTTCCTTCACCCCTCTGCATCAGGCTGACCTAGGTACTGCCCTGCAAATCATGACCTGGAACCTCTGCCTCCAGGAAGCCATCCATGATTCCTCCTCTGATCCCTGGGCTCCCCAAACATGGGGTCCATCATGTGGGACTGTCACTGCCTATACAACGTCTGTCTTTCCCTACCCAAATGTGAACTCAGGATGCCTGGGACCGTGTCTGGTTTGCTCACCATGACCCTGGTACAGAGCTGGTGCTCAATAAATGCTTGTGGAATAAAATTCCCAATAATAATCCTAGGAAAAACTGCTAAGCTTTGTCTCTGGGTTCCCTTCCCCAAAGCACCTTGGGATGGAAACATCCCATTGTTCCTGATAGGAAAAGAGGTTGAGAGAGAGAAAGGACCTTGTCCAGGTCACATAACAGCAAGCTGTGCCCTGAGCCAAATCAGAATAGTTGCCCTCTCCTTGCCCTGTGAAAAAACAAAGACTCAGAGTGGGGAAGGGTCACATTCCCTTGGCCCCTTCTCATACGGATGAGGACACTGAGGCTCAGAAATAGTAAGGACCCCAACAGGGGTCATGCAGCAGCAGAAGGGGACCTAGAACCCCTTGCTTCCTGCTGCTTGGTCAGGGGCTGTATCCTTTGGGTCATGTGGCCCTGCTGCCACAGCAGCCCCCAGCTAAGGTCACCATGATCTGGCCCAGCAGGGCCTTCCCCATCTGGTTCCTCTTTGTGGTCAAAGCCTAGGGTTCAGAAGCAGGAAGCCTGGGGAGGGGCATCAGCTGGGGGTAAGGGACAGGTGATTCCTCAATGCCAACCTGTCTGCTCACCATCCAGCTTGCAGGGACAACAATGAGATAAAATAACAGTAACATAACAATGGATGACACCCACTGAGGCCTATCACAGCTGGGGGGCTAGGCTTAGCCCACATCAGAGATGCCACAGACCCACTCCCTCCGGCATATTTTCCTCTCAGTTAAAAAAATTAGCTACACTAGAAAAAAACACATAAAATTCTTATTTCCTACTTCCCTTGAGAACACAGGACTCTGGCCACCCTGAGGCCTGAGCAGCTGTGGCTGCCCCATCAGAAGGGGGCAAGAGCTCCCAGTTCACCCTGGTCCCCTCCCCTACTGGCGGCCTCGTATTGGGTGGCTTCCCTTGGTGGCAGTCCTGGCCAGGGCCCCTGCAGTCATCTGAGTTTTTGAGCCTGAGGCACAGTCTCTCATTCAAGTCTCTGTCCCTCCAGGGAAGAACCGTTGATTCCATTTCCCAGATGACGAAACTGAGACGCAGTGGGTAAAAACAAAGAGCTGGGTTTGGATCCTGGACTCCTAAATGCGACCTGACAGCCGGAATGTTCTGGGCTGTCCTGATTTCAAAGACTGCGCAGCTCTCTCCCCATGCCATGGAGAATGTCCCTGATATCTGAATATTTTCCCATCTAAACTCTCTTTGGCCTCTGGAATCTGGGTCCTTCTACAGAACAAAGGCCTCAATTATGATCCATAAAGAATGCATCTACAATAATAAATGGTCTTCATTAAGTACGGCCTACGTGCCAGGTACAGTGCCAGGAGTAACTTCAGCCAGCCCTCACCATACTCTGTGGACCTCTGCTTCACCCTTCAGAGGGAGAAACTAGGCCTGGAGAGATGAAATGACTTATTCAAAGTCACTTGAGAGTCACCTAAGTCACAGCATGGACAGTCAGCCTGGCAGGGCTGCATGGTCAAGTGGTCTAAATGTTGTCACTTTACAGATTGGTAGACTGGAACCCAGGGAGGGGAAGGGCTTTGCTCGGTACACAAGAGCTTGGGCTGCCTCTGGCAGAGTGCTGGGCCTTGTTTTTTTGGGCCACCCCTGGCCTGGCCAGGGCCCATGATCTGGGCTGAGTACAGCAGCGACTGCTGGTTGGCCTGGGGAGGGGGCCAGACTGTGTGTGGTGGTTGTGGAGGGAGGGGAGGTGCAGGGGAGGTCAGGAGCCAGGCCTCAGACATCTCTGCTTTCCTGGGGGCGGGCTGCAGCCAGAGCGTTGGCATCGGGCCCAAATCTTCTAATTCAGTCAGAAAGCTCTGAACAACCTATACTTCTGATGGCTTTTAGCACTAGGAGACCCTGGGCCTCAGGAAAGTGTGGACAGGAGGTAGGGAGAAGGCAGGGAACAGAGAGAGACTGCTATGAGAGAGAGCAGGAATCAGGACACACAGAGATGAGAAACAGAGAGATGGAAGAAACAGGAAAAGAGATGGAGACAGAATAAAAGAGAAACAGCATGGCCAGAGAGAAGGGGAGACAAAGAAATGGAAAAAGAATAAGACTGAGGGGGGCAGAGAGAAAGCTTGGCCCAGAGTGTGGCAGGGACCAGGCCTGGCCAGGGAAGGGGCCTCAAGTCTCTGTCCTCTGGCTTTAGTCAGGCCCATTTGGGGGATTGAATGTAGGCTCAGCTCTGGGGCTACAGGCCAGGCCCTCTGCTCAGTGCTCCTAACACCCTCTACCTTTCCCCTAACCGCGTACTAAGAGCTCCTGTGTCCCCCAGGGCAGAGACCATCTGTAGTTAGCCGGGAGGAGGTGAACAGCTGACTCTAGAGAGCCCTCAGAATCCACCCCTGGAGCAGCTGAGAAATGGCATACACATAGGCAGGCTTCAGCTGGCACCCGCCTCACCTACTGGCTGGCCCATGAGGCCAGGGAAAGCCTGCCAAGTCTGCCAGGCCCTTCACAAATCCTGGCACCTGGCACAGGGCAGCTGCTGCTGTGAAACTGAAATCCAGAGTGCGGGCTATGGGACTCTCTGGCTGCCGGGATCTACAGGACCCAGCCCCAACTCCTGGGCCAGACACTTGGGGCCAATGGGATTGGGCCGAGGCTGCCTCACCCCTTGCGGTGCGCTCCACTCCATGACTCACAGCTCCATGACACCAGGCCCACTCTCTCCGCTCTGCTGACCTGGAACATTGGTCCTGCTCCTGCATGTTCCCCTTGGGCTGGCTCACTCCCACAGCGAAGACTAAGAACAAGGAACCTAGAACACCAGTTCTGGTTCTCGCCTTGATGCTAACTGGCTGTATGACCTTGGGCAGGTCACTATTCTTTGCTCTCTCAGGAAATGTTGTCAGGTATCGGATGGGGTACTTGAGAAGTGCCAGGTACTTTAGGGAAACCAGATGTAATCCCTGGCCTAGCCAACTTCCCTTTTGGTATGGACAGGTGCCAGCCCAATCCAGGCAGGACAAGCGAAGGAAGAACACGTGCTCTATGAGGAGGCTACAGGAATCTCAGTTGCCTCTCCTGTAAATGGAGTTAATACTAAGGTGCTCCTCAGACACCTGTAGTTGTGAGATCATGTGAGGAAAATGCCCAGCACATGACACGGCTCAATAAATTTTCTTTGCCTTGTTATTGCTGCCAACTGTTACAGTGCCAACCCAGTTTTGGCCCCAGGAATCTCAAGAATCTCAAGAACCCAGAAATGTCTCCTATTCTCCCTTCGTTCATTCTGCTCCAGCCTACAAGCCTTCTTTGCTGATCTGCAGATACTCTAGGCACACTCCCACCTCAGGGTCTTTGCACTTGCTATATATCCCTAGTCTGAACCAATCCTTCTTCAAGTATCTTCATGCCTCTCTCCCTTCAGGTCTCTGTTCAAATGTCACCTGTGAGGCCTTAACTGCCCCCTCTAAAATGTCATTGTTCCCAACATTTCATTTCCCCCTTGTCTGCTTATGTATTTGTTCCACAGGGCTTATCACCACTGGGCAAGTGAGGTATTTCCATTCTATACTGGGCTTACTAAAATGCCAGCCCCATTTTTCCTGTCTTGTTCACTACTTTGCCCCCAGGGTCTATAGCAGGGACTAGGACAAAGCTGCTTAGTACATACTGAGCCTGGTTGCTCATTTTATAGGTTAGGACCAGAGAGGTCAAGGTATTTCCTCAAGGTCACACAAGGAAAAGACGCAGGGAGGCTTATGAAGTTTGGAGAAACCAGTCTAGCCAGTCACTCCACTCCTCATACCCCAGCCCCTAAACTCCATTTCAGGAGGAGTTAGGCCTTGACTGCAGGTTTGGGGTATCAGCAGACTGTCTGTAGCCTCAGATCCCTGCGTGGCTGTTCTTCAGAGAATGAGGGGCACTCGGGGAGATCAGAACCACACAAAGATGCCATCATGGTGGAGTGGGGAGATGGTGGTTTTTAGGGGAGGCTCAGAATGCCCAGGTATGATTTGGTTGAAAGTAGGTAAGGTTTACTCGAGTGGGCAGGGATGGATATCAAAGGAGGAGGCCTTTGAATCCTTACCCTCGATTCCCAGGTGATGAATCTGAGGACCAAAGAAGTGAGGCATCTTACTCCAACGTTCACAAAAAAGGTCAGGCTATTGGGTTAACAATAGGGAGCATCTACTGTATGCCAGGCACCGTGCCACAGTGGATGATCTCCTTTCCTCTTCCTAATGACACTAAGGAACAAATAAACTTTACCTTGTACCCATTTTAGAGGTGAGGAAACTGAAGCTTAAGAGAGGGAAAGTGGCTTGGCCCAGGTCACACAACTAGGTAGCAGAGTTAGTCCACAGGCTGGGTGTTTTTGGAAAAGGCTGAAGAAACCCATGATAGCATGGACCAGGTGCCTAAGTCAGGTTAGGAAAAAATCCCATTCAGAACATGGAATTGCAAGTCCAGAAAGGTCTTTGCTGATCCTCAACGAGAAAGCAAATGGCCCAATGTCATGTAGCCCCAGTTATGATAGAGATTTATGCTCTAGCAAGAATTAGACCCCAGGCCAGTCAAGCCAACGGTGGCAGTGGACCCATGCCCACCCCAGACTAGGGCCGTGTATGGTGGCAAACGTTAAGATGTCAGAATATTTGACAAACAAAGCTTGGTGTGATGACAATGTTCAGCAGGGAGGCGACTGGCAGTTCTGTCACCTGACTCTGGAATTCTCAAAGGCACTTCCTTAATATCTGGGGACATTTGGCTTTCTTGGGACCAGGCAATGAGATTCTTGGGGCTCAGGAAGAAGTCAGGGAAGGGGGTGGGGTCTGATTCTTGCTGGAGCATAAAGGGTAGGCACAGCCTAAGAAGTCAGGGGCCTTGGCCTGAGGGTCTCTAAGCAAGGGTCTCTAAGCTGTGGTCTAGCCTCGGGGGCTAATATATTGGGCTTACTAAAATGGAGAGAGATATTATATCCATCCACATGGGGAAGGGGCAAGAGATGGAGTTGTGGCCTGTGTATGGGAGGAGCTTAAACTGGAGGATTTGCAATGCCCCCCCCTCCCCCGGAAATTCTCGAAAACCCGGTGAGGGGCTGACAGTCCTCACTGCAGTGATGGAGGAGAGAGAGCGAATGGTGGTCTGTAGTTTCAGCCCCTGAAACTATAACTAGGATGGGGTTCTGGGGGAAGGGCGTCTGGGGCATTCGGTAGCAGGGGGCCCTTGCGTTGGGGTCCCCAGGGCAGGGGGGCTGACATGCCCAGATTTGTGGACTGAGGTCACTGGTTCCAGCCCAGGGCCCTGGCTGGGGCGCAGATGGGGCCCTAGGGTGTGAATGCCGGATCTGGGGAACCCGTGATGGGGTGTGACTTTTGGAGGCCCGGGAGCAGAGCACGTAGCTGAGGAGCTGCCTCTGACTTGTGCTGGGTTATGGGGTGAGGGTGTCCCTAAGTCCAGAGGCGGTCTTTGCAGCCGCGGGTGCCCCGGGGCTAGGGTTGGGATCTGGGGGTGCAATGGGAGCTCTCTCTGTTCGTAGTCCCGGGAGCTGATCTTGCAGTTCCTTGATATGGGGAGTCTGAGCATCCAGAAAGCCTCGGGGCTGGGGTTTTGTCCTGGACTTGCAAGTGGAGCTGGGATGGAGTCCTAAAACTTGCGACAGAACCCGAGGCTGGAGTTCTGCATCGGGGCCTGAGGCTGGGGTTCGGATCTGGGGACCCGGGATCGCTGTCCGCAGCCCGGTCTGGTGACGGCAGGCCCGGAGGGGGGCCCGAAGGTCCTACCTGGAGAGTAGAGCGCGGCCAGCTCGCGGGCCCCGGCGTGCTGCGCGCCCCAGCGCCGGCAATACGCTGCTTCGTCTTCGTCGAGCTCCGGCTGCTGGCCCGGCGCGTCCTCG